ACTGATTGCTGATAGTCCACGGGTTTTTAATCGACGACAGAACGTTGACAGCCTAAAGATTTACATTTAAGCTTTGGAAAAAAAGTTTTTCAAAGTAATTTCACCTGTCAGCTCGTCCTGCCGAAAGTTTCTTCAAGATGTTTAAAAGCGCTACATTGCCACTACAAAGCGAGATTGCTTCAGAAACTGCTTCCTCAGCCTAAAATTCACACCCACTCTTTTTCGCTAATTCTAGAGTTTAAAAGTTCCCCACATCAGGAGATTTCAAATCCAAATCAAGCAAATCTCTGGATTCTGTTGGTGTAACACCTTCGACGTGGATGATATCCACAGAGCAAGTAGCACCAGCGAACAGTTCAGCATTTCGAGTTGTTGCCAGTATGCGGAGCTGAAATATATAGGCTTATAGAAGAAAGAACACGAGCTTCATTCCCATTGAAAGAACACGCTTCGTATCGTCTTGTGGCCTGAGGTGATAGCAGGACTTTATGTTTAAATGAAAGTGAGCAAAACTTGAAAACTATGCAACCTACCCCAAGCTGATTAGCAAACTTCACAGTTTCCTTTTGACAAACATCGTCCAAAACCACTATGACATTTGGTCGATCAATCAACGCTCCTTCGATCTTGAAAAGGAAGATATTTCAACAACAACTAAAACTATCAAGTGATCCAAAACTTTCTTAACTCACCTGCTTATATAGGTAGACAGACGACATATCGTCAACCCTTGGTGGATCACTAGTGACGTCATCCCTAAAAAATTAGAAAGGTAAATATTACTTTTTTAGAAGTGATTCATACAAAAGTGATTACAATATGAGCATATAAGTAATGTTTCAAACGTCTTTTTAATCAAAATTGTGCACATGAGAAGTTCAGGATAGAAGATGTTAAAGTAAATAAACACTTTCACATCAAACTTTTACCACGTCACCAGTAAGGTGTTGGTTTTTTGGGCTAATAATCAAAATAGAAAATTCTCACCTATTTTTATGCTCAATCCAACAGCCTGATCTCAAATGATTCTAAGTTACACTCTCTATTTGGCAATTTACATGGTCACTTACCATAACATAAGTAAGAGATCAGCGAAGAGATAGCGGACACAGCTCGGCTCCGTACTCGAATCGCGAAGCCAGATCACGGACTCAAAACAACTATAAAATGTAGTGAACTAAGCACATATTTCTATAATAAGAAAGCACACCAGAAAGCACATCACTCACTTTCCCAGCAGATCCGGGATGTCAGCGAAAACCGATGCAGCTAACGAAGATTTGCCGCATCCAGCAATCCCATGCAATACAACAAAGAAGGAATCTGAAAAAAAGAATCTTTGAGATATCATTTTATAAAAAAAGGTTTTTACAAGATCTGTAACCTCTTATTATGATAAAATCGTATGCTGCTAATTTAGCGCGATATGCTCTCCATAAAAAAATACATAGAATACTCTTCTGAAGAAAAGTAGCCTCCAGTAGTTTTCCTAGTAAGAAGAATTAGTGAAGAGGAAATACCTAGATCAGCTCGTTCTCTCAACACCTTCGCCACACGCATCTGCATGTTCTCCCTCTTCACATGCTGGAAGACTCTTGGTACTCTGCCGGCAAGCAGTTTACGAAGTCGAAGATGATAAGGAAATCGAGGTTCAACGTTTGCTCCACCATAACTGACAATAAACATCATTTCGATGAACATCCGTGCATGGTGTGAGTGCACATAAAGTAAGTACAAGAGAAGCAGATTAATATTTTATTTGCAATACACTCTCGAAAGATAAATTTTTGGGAGATCAACAAACTAACCCATCCAGAACATGTTCCAAATCAGTTTTCATCGCA